ACGCCGAGATCCTTGTGTAAATTGATTCGTTCAAACGTGTGTTGGCCGTTGTTGATCGTATATACGTAGTCGATTGTGTTTCCACCTTTTGAATACGTCATTACAAAGCATTTCTTCAGATTCAGATATAGGCTGTTTTCAGTGCACCAATCATTCAACTGATCAATGGAATTTTGGAAAGTAATGGCATCACTGGGCGATTGTATTTTTCGAATCAATTTCAAGTCATCTGCAAAAAGTAAGACAAGTGCATTTGACACGGTTTCGACAATGTCGTTAATAAAAATAATAAATAGACATGGTCCCAAAATACTTCCCGCAGGTACTCCTGATGAGACAGTGAAAGTACGTGACTTTCTTTCGCCGATTCCAACAAACTGTGTACGGGCTGTCAAATATCCATGGAACCATTTGACTAGTCGTCGGCCGAATCCAAATTTCACCAGTTTCTGTAGCATTCTTTTGTGGTTGACCCGATCGAAGGCCTTCTCGAAATCGGTGTACAACACATCCGTTTGACATTTTTCGATCATTGAATCCATCGTGAAATTTACCATTTGCAATAAATTTGTTGAGGTTGATCGACTTTTTACGAAACCATGTTGATTGTGGTTGATTTTTGCTTGTACAAATGTGTAGATTTTACTATACACAACAATTTCGAATAGTTTGGCTATTGTTGGTATTATCACTATTGGCCGATAGTTCGATGCGTTGCTCTTTTTACCAGACTTGAATATTGGTACAATCTTGGAATTTTTCAACGCTGACGGAACACATCCTTGATACAATGATTTCCGAAATAGCACTGTTAACGGGTTTGCCAAAGATTGTGCACAGTTCTTCAGTAGTTTCGGTGATATTCCGTCAGGACCGGCTCCTTTATTCACATTTATCGGCCGAGTTGTATGCATAATGTTGCGAAGATTGCGGTGATGTGGACTCGTTTTCATCAATTGTGATTTCGATTTCAATTGCTTTGTGCCAAATGTCGGACTTTATCATTGGTTTAGTTGATTCAATCAACGACATTTCATAAAACTTGTTTGTGAAAACAAGATCCAAAACATTTCCGGCTGGATTCACGATATTTGAAATTTGGTGAAAGCCACAATCGAACATTGTGTCAAAAACAGCAATGCCACCTTCTGTCAATACGTTAATTGGCAAATAATACTCACCGTCATCGGCTTTGACCCATTTGACACCTGGCTGATTAAAATCACCACATACAATTACAATGTCATGTTCGTTGTATGGAATCAGCTTGACGATCTCAGCAAATTCCAAGAATTTCGCGGTTTCATGTACCGACCGAATGTACACAGCAAATACATATATATTGCACGAATCGAACGAAATTTTTACACATACGTGCTCAAGGCCGCTGCGCTCCGATAGAATCAGCTTTTCACTGTTAAATTGGGATTCAACAGCAATCAGCACTCCTCCACCATCGATTCTATCACTTGTGAGTTCAGTCCGATCACCACGATACACATTATAACGTTTGCCAAAATGTTCAATGTCAGTAATGTTCTTTTGAAGCCACGTTTCGAAGAAAGAAATTATATGAAAAGGACACGATTTTGTTGCTAATCGTACCTCATCGACTTTGTCCCGAATTGAATGTGTATTCTGTATATACACATTGATTTTTGTTTGATTCGAGACTATTTTTGGCGAGCTTAGTGTTTGTTTTCGATGCGGTGTCAATGTTCGTTCGGATTTTCGTTCGGTGGTGTTCGTTTCATTTTGTTTGATGATGTGGCCTGTTTGTTCGACGCTTCGGTGGCTGTGATCGGTGGTGATACGGTTAAATCCATCATATCTGGTGACGGTGATTTGCTGATGTTTTTCGAGTTCAATGCCGGGAAAAAATCACCTAAAGTTTTGTTCTGCAAGAACTCACGAACTAGCACATCTTCTTCCCATACCTCCGGGTTAATCAAAATATCAAAATCATCCTCATTCAGTTCGATTTTGAATGACACAAACTTCAAGGTGGTGACATCCTTGTCTTTTTTCACGAGTTTGTGTACATTGAATCTCGATTTCTCGTTTACCTGCGTTTCTGCCATGATATAGTCATTGATTTCTTCGGTTGTGGTCATTGGATTGAATCCAGATACCCACTCACAGAAGACGTCAATTGTAATATTTGCGAACTCTGGTGGTGATTTACTAAATTACCACCATTACAATGTGTGGCATGGTGATTTTTGTATGTATTGCAAATATATACAATAGCAAATATATACAATAGCAAAGCAAATATATACAATACATACAAAAATCACCATGCCGCACATTGTAATGGTGGTAATTTAGTAAATTACTACCAGAGTTCACAAATATTACAACTGACGTCTTCTGTGAGCAAATTGCCTTTTTAAATGTTGGTTTTTCGGCTCGTTTTGGTTTGGCTACCACGCTGAGTCGATGTGTGGCCGATTTTGTCCCTGTTTTTGGTTTTGGTGCATCGAATTTGGCATTATTTGCCGGTGCAATAATCGATTTCGGTGAATCCTCAGTTCGTGGTCGTTTGGCTGACTAGTTCGTAATATTTCGCATTACACTGGCATACGTATTAACTGCTAATGGTGTTTTCATTTTTTGTGCGGTGAATTTCGTGTTTTTCGATGTAATCGGTGTGTTCGGTGCATTTTGATTCGGGTGCAAAAGAGCCGGTCGGAGCACTTTACTCGCTATCATTTTCGTTGAATTATCAATGCCGGTTGTTTTTTCGTCGATTGTGTCCAATTTTTTTGAATTTTCTTCAATCACAATGCGGAGCGATTTTACCTCGTTCATAATTTGACGAATAGACATTTTATCCGGTTTCGGTGTTGATTTTGTTCCAAATGACGCGTTCAAATCGTTCGATTGTGTACCGTTTGACGTTTCATTGGCGCACACATTGCAAAAAAATCGAATGTTCGGAGATGAAATTTGGCTAACTTTCAGGTTAATTCCAATGCACAGAAGATGAATGCATCCATTGCAGTTGAAACACTTTGTGGTCTGATCGGGTTTAATCTTTTCTCGTGGACAATCGTCCCTCGAACAATTTTTGTTTGTTGTCATTCCGTTGCTTGAAAAAAGTCACTGTTTACACAGAAAAACAACAACAACACTATGGTACAAAAATGTTCAATTTTTCAATCGTAGTAATATTATCAAAAACACAAGAAAATTACTAAACTTCATGTAATTCCAATAGATATCACCGTAATGTCGTTAAATATATATATTTGGTTAATTAAAATAACATTCAAATGATAAATAAATACAAAAAACACAGAGCTAAAAACAATAGTCGGTTTTCGCTTTGACAGCTAAACGTCATCCATCATAATAAATTAGTATTTTTGAATTCTGTACCAAATTTATAATTGAGTATTTCATTGAACTCATTTTAATAAAAAATTTCCTAAAAACGAACGAATTTGGCATCCACATAAAAAAAAAGAAATGGTAAATGACAAATTTAAGGTATGATTCAGCCAACGAAAATTTCTGGTGGATATCAATTTATTTGCACTTTGTTCGTAAAAATGTTTTGATTTCCTGTCCCCTTTTCACCTCGTTCGAATTGAAATATTTGTTAAATGGTTGCTCCTTACAATCTTAATTATTGCATTTGTTGTCTTTGTAAACTTTATAATTCGTCTGAATTTTTCTATGAACATATTATCACGAAGCGGCATTTTAAATTCACATCGACATTTATGTATTTGGACGGGCAAAGATTTTTGGACTATACAATAATCAACAAAAATGATTGGAACAGTCTTTATGTTTTTTATTAATTCAACCAGATGAAAATTCATACTCAATATATCAATTTCTGAATGAAAAAGTAAAAAAAAAATCAGATCATGATGATATCGCTTTTATATGTTTCAATTAAATTTTGATTATGATTTTGGACTACTTGAAAATGATGCGAACGATGAGACAAAACCGAAGTGCGGTATCATTTTAATGATAAGGACCGTTGTTTGTACAAACCTATACGTACAAATGAACAGACGCTGGACGAGATAAGTGCCAGCAATTATGTAAACGAGTAAAAAGAGTTTCGTTTTCAATTAGTATACAGTTGTGATTTGTGTTGGACGTTTGAACTTCATTTATTTCAAGAAAAAATGTGTCGATCCAACGATACCAATTTATCGTTGAAATATTTTTTCGTTATTTTGTCATTTATTCCATTAGTTTTTGGATTTGCAATTACTAGAAATGAAACTTTTAATGTAGATGGATTTCGGACAGAAGTGATTTCTGCTAGTGATACCAAAAAAGTTGAAAGTGAATGCGCCACCAGCTTGACACCAGAACTCATCGAGGAAATCAAAGAAAATCAACACATTGTCGATAAAATCACAAATGCCATCGTAAGAGGACAATACTCGGGAGATACATGGAATGCGTATGATAATTTGATTTCGTTTTACAAAGTTGTTTTTTACTACTTTATACTTTTACAGATTAGCAGAAATGACTGATAAATTTGGTTCCCGAATGACGGGGTCACAGAGTTTAGAAAATGCGATTGATTACATGGTTGATGAGTTGAAAAAAGCTGGCTTAGATAATGTTCACACGGAAAACGCTACCGTACCACACTGGGAACGCGGCTACGAAAGTTGTCGAATGGTGTCACCGCGACAAGCAAAAATTGCTATCACTGGTTTTGGGTCTTCCGTTGGCACATTGGGAGATGGTTTAATTGCTGATGTTGTTGTTGTCGAGAGTTTTGAAGAATTTGATAAATTGCCCGCGGCGACTGTACAAGGGAAAATCGTTTCATTTGTACCAGAGTGGCGGGGATATTTTGAAACGGTTATAGTACGAATACAAGCAGCGTCGGTAGCATCGAAAAAAGGAGCTGTGGCAGCTTTAGTTCGATCTATGACACCATATTCTACCTTACACACTGGTTGGCAAGAATATGGAAATGATGTTAAAAATAAAATTCCAGCGGCAGCAGTTACCGTTGAAGATGCATACATGATGCTTCGAATGTATCGTAGAGGTGAAAAAATAACCTTGCATCTGGAAATGGATGACAAAAATCTGGACGATTTCGTGTCACGCAATACAATTGCGGAATTAGCTGGTGAGACAAAAGCTCCAGTTGTAGTTGTTTCGGGGCATTTGGATAGGTAAATTTCTTTTTCAAATCTCATTTATTTTCAAAAGTTTAAGTATTATTGCATTTACTTTTCTTCTTCGCTGAATTGCCATTTGGATCAATCCCAATCAGTTGGGATTTGGGCGTTGGTGCCATGGATGACGGTGGCGGTGCATTTATCGCATGGAAAGCATTACATTTATTGAAACGGCTCAATTTGAAACCAAAAAGAACAATTCGTGCAATTCTATGGACTGCGGAAGAGCAAGGTCTTTATGGCGCCCAAGAATATGAACGACAACATAAATCACATGAAAAAGAAGAATTTAATTTTTTCATTGAAAGCGATGCGGGCACATTCACACCCCTCGGATTGGGTATGCGATATACAAATTAATTTCAGATTAAAAATTGCTATAAGGCAACCGACAACTGCATCAATTACTGCATTTTATGTCTATTTTCCAGATTTTAGTGGAAACAAGGAAGCTGAGTGCATTTTTCGGGAAGTTTTGAAACTGATGGCTCCGTTGAATGCAACACAATTCAATTCACCAACTGGTGCTGGTCCAGATATACGACAATGGTCAAATCGTGGATTCCCAGCTGCAAGTCTCATGAACAAGAATGACAAATATTTTTACTATCATCATTCGGCTGCTGACAGTATGCTTCTTGAAAACTCAGATGATCTTGACAAAAATACCGCTCTGTTCGCTTCAGTTGCTTATGTTATTGCCAATTTAAGTGTTGATATGCCAAAAGATGTTAAAAATTAACAATACACAAACATTATTTGGCTACAAACTAATCAAATTAATTATTGTATTGCTTTGAGACCATGATGGCAATAAAAAGAGTAAAACAGATATACAATTGTTTCGAAGAGTTATGCACATAAAACACAACACTCACAATGCAAATACAAACATGATTTGTGCGACTAGACAAAAGGGCTACACTTATTTATTCATTTCTTTTTAATCAATATAACATCACCCGTATCCACTTTGAGTTCATTTGTTATACAAAATTGTTTTTCTTGCCATCAATTTATTGAATTATATTTGATTAACAACCAAACAACAGGTAACTTTGTCAAAAATTGGTTTCATGTTGGTGAATGTATTTTAATTTGGTTAAATGAAATCAAAAGGCATACTCTTTCAATTATCTTTTGTGATTGTTCATTTGTAAAGGACAAACAACTCCTTATCGTTTAATCTTTCACGCGTACTCCTTTATTCAAATAATGTGTTTCGATTCTTCTTAATTTCCTGATTTATTGACACACGTTTGAAATATGTGACTGCATTGTTTTCAAGTACAAGTACATACAGGTACAAATATCTTTTTTTTCAGTCACAATTAAATCTCCTGATCGTAAATACCAGTTTTTGTCCATTGGAATAAATTCTTCGATTTTTTTTTTCAAATTATTCATTGAGTTTAGACACGAAAATTTTCCGTCGAAAAAAATGCTTTACAAAAAAAATATCACTTTTCCTCAAAGTGTGAAGAAATTCTTTGTCACACCACGTCTCAAAAGGTAAATTGCGCTTTAATTCGCTTCGTTTCCGAAATAACTTTAAAAAACAAATTTCAGACCACCGATACAATCAAATTGGTTGCCTCGAGCTCACAATCACGGTAAAAAAAGAGTAATAGTCAACGTAGAAATATGTGATAATAAAAGTTTCGTATATTTCAGTACAAAACCGGTGTCTTGTTGGAAGTTTTAGAGACGCAATATGGCCGTTTTTGATTGTCGGTCAGATCTTCGGGGTGATGCCTGTCTTGGGTGTGAAAAGTCATCTAATCGATAATCTTAAATTTAAATGGACAGCTTTACGGACTGTATATAGTATAGCCATAGCCTTTATCTTGGCGATGGCCTCATTGTTTCTAATTTGGCAAGCGTTTACACGAAAATTGGAATTTCTTTCGATATGTTAGTCACATGAGAATGTATAAATTTTAACCAAAATTTCATTATTTGCAAAGCCGATTTGTGTCTTTGCAAATATTTTTTATTTTCATTTTTTTTTGTGGAAAGAATTAAAAAAGGTGGCCACTCAGAAAGCACCTTATCCGTGGCCCGCTGAGTAACCAACGGGTTAGCGATCATCGACGATTGTGGGTTTCGATGCATGAAATGCAACAAAAAACCACACGAATCTCCCTCACGCTTTCAGATAAAGCACCACAGCTCGTCATCGTGGTTGCCGTTCACTCTAGTGTTAACCAAAGTAGAAGTATAAGAAATACTAACAGAAATGATCCTGTGAAGTATAGTCTTGCCGTCCGCTTATTTTGAGCAGACGCTTATGCTCTACGGTGATACGTTGCGCTAGTGAATTATAAAATTCACAAAAATGAAAAATACACATAACGTTTATAGTGTACACAGTATAGGAACTATGTAGCTGTCGTATTGCTTGCTTGCTGTGTCTCTCGTATTGCTTGTGAGATTTATCGTCTGTGCGTATTTGATTGTCACAAACGATTCGCTATGGCATTCGAATGTACGCACGAACGAACGCACCGTTAGAAATAATTATTTACCTTTTTTTTCAAGCGAGTTTTACTTTTTACATTTTAAACACTTATGGATTCATATCGTTTTTGAACCTTGCGCCTAAATGGCCTCGATTGTTGCGCATTTGGGAAAATGTGGAAACAAAATCGTCAAATTTTCGCAGTGAAAAGCAGAAGAAAACGTTTATTTTACAAATCAGAGTCATATCCCTGTCGGTTCTATTTTTAGCACTGAGTATGCCATTCAACAAATGTCCATTAATTAAAATGATACAAATATTATATTGTTATTACTTTTAGTTGAACATTTACTAAGTATTACATCAGCAATGCATCACGTTATTACATGCCAAATGGGAAAAAATCCGTTTGTTGAGCTGATCAAACAGAATGTACCATTTTTATTCAATTCTGACAGCGAAATTTCGTTTTGGGAAGCAACTTCTGTCAGTTTTATAAGCCTAATATCGACATTTTTATGGAATTTTCTGGATGTATTTATTGTGGTAATTAGCATTGGTTTGACCATGCACTTTAAGCTTTTTAACCACGATTTGAATCGGGCAAACGGCATGGTACTGTATGATCCCACTTGATAAATTGCATCCTTTTATGTTGTAATAAATCTCTTATTCGTTTAATCAGCACATGCCAAAGCAGTTTTGGATCGATCGGCGAGCACAATATCGACGATTATGTGACTTGGTCAATGTGGTTGACAAACGAATAGCCCATATTATTTTGCTGTCATTTTCAAATAATTTGTTTTTCATTTGCAAGCAACTATTTCAAAGTTTAAGGTGAATTTTTGGTATCATCGCAATCTGAATCTGTTTTTATTGGATTTTTTTTAAAAACGGCTGTAGACCACTGCCAACATATTTGCTGATGATTTATTTCTGGTTTTCGTTGATTTTCCTGATTATGCGAGCGTTTGTTGTTTCATTTTGTGCGGCTTGTATCAATGACGAATCGAAAAAACCCCTTAAAGTGCTATGTGCGGTACCACCTTATTCATGGAATAACGAAACAAAACGATTTTACGAAGAAGTAAGCAATGACACCATCGCTTTGTCTGGGATGAGATTCTTCTTTCTCACACGCAAGCTCATATTATCTGTTTGTGCCACTATCGTTACATACGAACTCGTTTTGGTAAACATATATAATTCTCAAGTTCATTGCGATGAAACATTTATAATCTTTTTTCTTTCAAGATGCAATTCCACTTAAACTCGAATCAAATTGGCCCAACTTAAATGGAGTTTTCCTGTAACGATCAATCAGAAGACATCATTAAAATATATTTTTTGGCACGATTTTAGATGGAAATGTTCAGCTTTTTGGACGTACCGACCTTAACCAGTGTGTTTGAAAAAGAATTTCGTCCTTATACTATCTTTCTTTTGTCCACTGCAAATGTTAGTGGCTAGAAAGCAGCCCAAACCACGGTTGATATCTATTGATTAAAATGTAATTTCAATTAAGTCATTCTTTAGCTCCATATAAAATATAATAATTATAGATCATGTACAATGTGGTTGTTTGTATTTTTCTGACAGTGTAAACAATAACCAGTTCAGTCCTAATAACAAGTGTCAGTGCTTGTATGAAATAAACAAATATTTATCACATCGTTTGTCAAATTATTATACAGTAAAACCACTCAGTAGTGGAATGATTTTACATATATTTTGAACTTGAAAATGATTTTTTTTCATGTTCATACAATATCCTTTTTTTCTATTTTTATTCGTTGCATTAGCATGTTATTTAAATACAATTAAGCTGTTGTTCAAACAACCAATTTTTAGGCACGAACAAAAGCATGTTTCGTGTCAATGCGACAGATTTCAATTGTTTAATGACATATTATTTACATTTCATGAACTGATTTTATTTTATTCAAAGTAAAAATGAAATTAGCGGTTTGTCTATGCTTTAGTATGTTTTTGGTGCGCTGACAAGACTCATTCTCCTTCCTTTTACTGTCAAAAGATACAAATTCAAAATGAGACATTTTTTTCTCAGACCGAAAACTCGAAAATCAAACAATCGAAGGAATGCTACATTAAAAAATAACAGAGTATGGTCATCAGAGTCGAAAGGTCGACTGAATAAGTAAATGAAACATAGATTTTTTTGTAAATGTTTGATAGTAATTCAGTTTTTTTTCGAATTCCAGGCTACATCTCGATGAAATGCCAACGCAAAGTAGCAATCAAAATAAATATTGGTCTTTCGAGTTGATGTCATCAATGTCCCGGACAACTGGCAAAGAGGCGGTAATCAACGGCAGTTTTCATCAAGCATTCAGTTCGGTATTGGTGGTCGCACAATGCTTGGCTCTCATGCCCGTCATAGGAGTTACGGGTAATTCTTCATTTGGATTAAGATTCACTTGGAAAAGTTTTCGTACCTTATACAGTGTGACGGCGTTCTTATTTGCTTCATCATACACCATATTTTCCACATATATGACGCTGAAAAACCCAATTACTTTCAACTCATTAGGTGAGTATTTTCTTTATGAATATTTCATTCGATTGCTTAACAGTTGTTTCATTGTCTTCGACTTAGTTGGCATTACTTTCTTTTCAACAACGACTTATGGTGTGTTTAGTTTCATCAATTTAGCTAGAAAGTGGCCGAAGGTATTGCAATCTAATTATATTAGCTTGAAAAAAAAATTAAACTTTTTTTGTAGCTCATGCGGCACTGGGAGTTTGTCGAAGCAGTACTTCCACCGTATCGAACAATGGAAGAAAAGAAAATGCTTTCCCGAAAAATTCGAAACGTATCATGGATTGTTCTATCTGTTGCTCTTGGTAAAATCTTTTCATTTTCGATTACGTGAGAAAAAATATCGAATAATCATTTGTATTCCTTGATAGTTGAGCACGTTTTTAATATGGTGTCAATAGTAATGAGAGCTCGCAGTGAAAAATTGGATCCGGTGAAAACATTATTTGATACTCAGATTCCATTGGTATTTACCTTAACCGAATTGACATGGTGGAAAGCGGCGCTGGTCAAATGGTTTAATCTTGTGGTTACCTTTGCATGGAGCTTTTTGGATTTGTTTGTCATGATCGTTAGCATTGGTTTGGCGTCACAATTCAAACAATTGAATGCCGATTTGCGGCACATGAAAGGCAAAGTAATCTTATTAGAAAATGTTACATTTTTTAATCAAGGAAAAAGTAATAATTTTGTTCAATTTTGACTCTTATCGTCAGCAAACATCCGAGGTTTTTTGGATTTTGCGTCGCATTCAATATCGGAAAGTGGCCCATCTGTGTACCGCCGTTGATGATTGCATTTCGCACATTATTTTGGTTACATTTGCAAATAATTTGTTCTTCGTATGTGTTCAAATCGTCAGAAGCATAAAGTGAGTATGTCAATCATCACAATTGAGTTTATAATAACTATCTCATCTCAAATTCCAGACCGATGCCCTCGTTTATGAACAAAGTATACTTCTGGTTTTCATTGATATTTTTAATTACGAGAACGGTGGCTGTTTCGCTTTTTGCGTCATACATTCATGACGAATCGAAAAAATCAATTAATGTTTTACGCGCAATACCGAGGCAATCCTGGTGCAAAGAGACCTACCGATTTTCAGAGGAAGTGATCAATGAAACCGTTGCATTATCGGGCATGAAATTTTTCTTTTTAAAACGCAGCATAATTTTAACGGTAAAATTCGTAACACCACTGACTTGATATTTATTTTAAATATTTCGTCTTTTCATCGATTAGGTGACGGGATGCATTGCGACGTATGAATTGGTAAATTTTGAAAATATTTATAGATTTTTTGTACAAACAATAACATGAGGATTTCGGAATTCATTTTTTCCTTTGAAGGTTTTGTTGCAGTTCAACACTGATACCTGAACATATTTACATCTGAAGGCCCAATATTATAAATGTTTTTTTTTCTTCTCATTTTATTCTATTTCTCGAGTTTTGGTTCAGAATTTTTAATCTGTTTATAATTCACTTTGTATTTTTTCTTGTGATGGTTCTTGTTTAAATTTTAGAACCAAACGCTACACAGAAAGAAAAAATGTGGTATTTTTAATTCAATTTTGGTAGATTTAATATAAAATCAACCAACAACGAATTAAATTTACCATTTTTGACATCTCTGAGGCATATTTCTCAAAAGAGACTATCAGTTTAATAAGTTTTACCAATTGCTTCATTTCATTCACCAAATTCATGGGCTAGCGTCATCTGTGGTTTCGAAAAGTTGGTAAATGTAATGAAGCAGTTGGTAAAACTTATTCAACAAATAGTCACTTTTGAAAAATATGCCTCAGAGATGTCGAAAATGGTAAATTTAATTCGTTGTTGGTTAATTTTATATTAAATCTACCAAAATTGAATTAAAAATACCACATTTTTTCTTTCTGTGTATGTTTATTATGAATGTGAAAAGATGTTATCAATGTGTGCACGTGAATAAAATTGTTTATCCAGAAATTGTCGTAGTTTCAAAACCATTTTTTTTTTAAATGCAATGCACTGTACACCGTTTGTGAAGTACTGTGATTAATTGCTGAAATACATACCGTGTTTCTTGCCATTATATTCAACACGAATGTTTACATCTTGCTTATTTTTCAATTCAAGTATAAAAGGACATTATTGATTTCACCTATAATTTTAAATTTATCATGCAAACACGTTAATGAGCTTAACCTTGAAAGCAATTTCGTGATAAAACAGGGAAAAGGTGTGTGATTGAATGAAATAGAGTGAAAAAGGTTTTAAAATGAAGAAGTTGCGATTTTTGTTGACTTCACCGGCTGAAAAAGTGAAATCAAATGGAATTATGATAGCAAATGGAATAAAAAAAGCTAATTCCAAACCCAAGACCTACAAGTAGGTTGAAATATAAAAATAATAATTAGACAGGGCAATAACATACATTTGAACATATATAGATTCCGCTTTGCTTTGAACAACTCAATATTTTCGCATCGACAATGGTTTATGGGTAGGTGAGTGGTTTTCAATTCATGTCAGTCACATGAAGTGCTTCTTCTACTCTAAACAGGTGAAATCAAGTGGTTGCGTCGAGCGACGCGAAAAGACTTTTTGTACAATGGTAGTTTTCAAGAAGCAATCGGCTCAGTATTGGCAATGGCTCAATGCTTTGGGCTAATGCCTGTTGTTGGTATTAAAAGTAAAACAGCCTCAAAGTTACATTTCAAATGGAAGTGTTTCAGAATGATCTACAGTATTATTTTGTTCATACTGATATCAATTTATGCAAGCATTTTTCTCATGATAACACTTAAAAACGATATTGCACTGGATAGAATGAGTGAGTGTCAATGATCAATAAAATAAACGTTTAACGCGACTGATGAAACTCGTTTATTTAACATACAGATACATTGATTTTCTATTCATCCGCTTTTTATGGAACGATTTGTTTTGGTGTATTAGCATTGAAGTGGCCGAAAGGTGATAAATTGTTGCATTTTAGTCAAAATTTTGAAAATATTTCTTTTTAGTAATGCAAAAGTGGGAATCGGTTGAACAAAAATTGCCGAAATATCGGACCCAAAGACAGAAAAGAAAGATGGCTTCTCACATTAAAATGTTATCTTTTGTAGTATTGATATGCTCACTTGGTAAGAGAAACGATTTTTTTTTTTGTAAAAATAAAAATATTAAAGTCATTTTTCTTATGATTCTTTCAAGTCGAGCATACTTTGTCAATGGTTTCTACGGTAACAATGTTTTTAAAACATAAAATTATTCCAATCATTGAAATTGAATTTATCATGCTTACTTTATAATTCTGTGACAATCCCTGGAAAATGTTCAATTACCTTTCAAAATATTTGACTTCTGACTTAAATCAATTTTTAGGTGCATTATTTAAAGAACTGTTTACACCAAACAGATCCATTTGAGCCATTAATGTGGACTCCACTTTTTAAACTTTTACCGTATTCACCTTGGATTACATTTGTTGGCAAGTATGTGAACGTAAGTGCAACATTCTGTTGGAATTATATGGATTTGTTTGTGATGATTGTAAGTATCGGTCTATCATCTCAATTCAAAAAAATTAACCGAGATTTGAAGCGAATAAAAGGCGAGGTAAATCAGAATGAATTATCACCAAATCGGTTTTTATATAAACACATAAACTATTTCAACATCATAGCATATGACGGAGGAATACTGGGCATTACGTCGATTACAGTATCGCAAGCTCTGTGCACTTTGCAAAGTCGTCGATGATGCAGTTTCACATTTGATTCTCCTTTCATTTTCCAATAATTTATTTTTCATTTGTGACACCCTATTGAAAAGTATTAGGTTTGTAATTTTCTCATTGAAATGAATAATGCGTCGTAAATTTTCAATTTTGTCTGCTTTGAATAGACCAATGCGCTCAATCCCACACGCCGTGTACTTCTGGTTTTCACTCATATTCTTGGTAATATCTTTTTTTTTTCTTTTGAAGAAATTGTGATAAATATTGTGATTGTTTTAGATATCTCGAACCTTGGCCGTTTCATTATATTCGGCTGAGATTCATGATGAATCGAAAAAGCCAATGGAGATACTTCGAGCTGTACCCACTCAATCTTATTGCACGGAAGTTCAACGATTTTCCGAGCACGTGATCAATGATACTGTGGCTCTGTCTGGCATGAGGTTTTTCTTTCTCACACGTAAGCTCATTCTGAGTATGATTGCTACGATTATTACATATGAATTGGGTAGGTAACTTGTATGAAAAGATATTTGGTATTCAGTGCTTACGTCTGTAATGTATGTTTCCAGTATTAATTCAATTTCACAAAGAGGAGCCAGTGTCTGAAATTTGTCGCGAACGTTAATTTGAAATTCAACTATTTACCAACGGTTTTTTGATATTCAAAATAATTTGTCATTCTACGAAAAATACTCTATCCCGAAGTTTATATTGTTTTTTTTTTTTTTTTTTTTTCAAATTGCGAGAGTCAAACGCAATAAGGGCACACTATATAAACGCCATCTATTAATAACCGACTAACTACAATGTAAATCAAACGTATCTGTTTCCCCTTTTTATTTACTCCCTTCTCCTCTCGCTATACTTTTACATTGTAGTTAGCCTGTTTTACAAAGATGTCGTTTCTGTGTAAGATGTGTGACGTCACAATGTATTTATATGGATAGCGCTCGACTCTCGTCAAATTGTATATTAGAAGGATGTTTCCTCTCAAAATGATATAATAAGATATAATCGATTTCTTATATCAGTTGTCAATGAATTTTATAGTTTTTATAGAAATAGAATGAAATATTTTTTTCTCAATCGCAAGCTCATTATGAGTAACGATCCTTGTATATGAATTATATACGTTTGTCAAAAATGTATCTTGAAAGTAACCATATACAAGCCATACAGGCTAGCATACAGGTGATAACCTACACAAATTTCAAGTTCATTCGAAAAACTTAAATATTAGTTAACCAGAGAATATTTTATGAAAATTTTACAACAATCATGACATAATTTTTTTCGAGGACATTTTTTCAATGTGGTTTTTTTTTACTGGCACATTTTAAGCAGATGATTTTTGAGCATTTTAAACTCCAAAATACAGGACATTAGCACCAAAATTGTCCTAAATTTTTTCAAAAATTTCAATAATTTTACAAAATTTACAACTGCAGAAATTAAAATTTACGACTGCATGTTAATTTTATGTCATTTACCAACGGTATAAATCAAACTATTTCAAATACTTTGCCTTTTAAATAATTGTTTTAGGCCAATGTAGTGCTGTTCAAAAGTAATTTTCTTCCCCATTCGTTGTATATGCATATAATGCGCAAAGAATTAACCTGTAGAATTTAGATAATATCTATACATGGAAACAAATGGAATTCAAACAACATTGTTAGTGAGGCTTGATATAAAATAAACATTCATTTTTATTAGCTATGGTTTACACTCAGTATGTGGCACAACAGTATTCACACAGATTGGTTTTGATAGGCGATTTAATCGTTTTCAATGAACTTGATTTTGCTGCAAACTCAAAAGCATGTAATTATAATAATTAAGGAAAAAATTGTTAACGAAATAAATTTATCACATTCGAATGTCAAATGCGAGTATGTGTGTCCTACTGTCCTTGATATCAATTTAAGGATAAATTGTTTTGTCATGACAAAATTGAAAAATTATTTCACTAAACGAAACAGATTACAGTGTGTATTAATATGAAACAGTCGAGACTTTCTCTGAACTCCTCGTCAGTGAGAGACAATCTGAATGGGATTGTCAAAACGGAGAGTGGCATTAATAAATCGAGCTCGCATTCCAAAATATACAAGTAAGTTAAATTCATGGCACCGTCAAAGTCTGAAATATATTATCATTGATATTCGCAGATTTCCGTTTGGCTTGAAAAAAGTGTATCGCAGAAAGTGGTTTATCGGTACGTACATAAATCTTGAGTCGATATTTTTTCCAAATACATTTTGAAATTGTATTTTCCATAAAAGGTGAAATAAAATGCTTACAACGAGCCACACGCAAAGATTTTCTGTTTAACGGTAGTTTTCACGAGGCAATTGGTTCAATTTTAGTAATGGCCCAGTGCTTTGGTATGATGCCTGTGGTTGGTGTCAAATGTAGCTCAGCTTCAAAATTACATTTCAAATGGAGTAGTTTTAGAACAATCTACAGTTTCGTTGCATTCATTTTGACGGTAATCTATGCCGCAATGACGTTTTGGGTGACATTTTCGGAAGAAATCAAGTTTGAACAAATGGGTGAGAGAATTTCCATTTTGAATACCAATAATAATGTTTAAAAAATATTTTTTTTAAATATCTCCAGTTCCTGTTATCTTCTATGCATCAGCCGTTTATGCAATGTTTCGATTTGGTGTTTTGGCGATGCACTGGCCAACATTAATGAGACGATATGAATCAATTGAATCAAAAATGCCGAAGTATAAATATCAAAGGGAAAAAAGGAAGCTGGCGTTACATTTGAAAATTTTGACGATTGTGGTGATGATGGGGTCGTTGTGTAAGAAATTTAATGGCCACAGAAAAAGTGTAGCTCAAATTAAATTATCTTTTCTTACTTGTTTTTAGTGGAGCACCTTTTAAATTTAATTTCAATCGTTCATTTTTCGAAAACATGCTTGGATCTAAAGGATCCAGTCAATGATTTTTTCCAGCTGGAACTTTCGCAACTGTTTGCCTTGGTACCATTTTCGCCAATATCTGCATTTTTTGGAAAATTTGTGAATGTAATTGCCACATTTTGTTGGAGCTTTATGGATTTATTTGTGATGGTAATGAGTGCCGGTCTCTCATCGCGCTTCGAACAAATTAATGAAGATTTGAAACGAGTCAAAGGCGAGGTAAAAAAAAAATACAATTCACACAAAAAAAAAATTCTGAAGCACATGTGGTTTTCTTAGCACATGTCAGAGGACTTTTGGGCCTTGCGTCGAACACAGTATCGTAAGCTTTCTGTTCTATGTGGTCTGGTAGATGAGGCGATTTCTCAGGTGGTTTCACAAGATTTTTTTTCTTGCATTATTATGACTCATTTTTCAAATGTCGTTTCGTAGATAACATTGCTGTCATTTTCCAATAATTTATTCTTTATCGCCGTACAGTTACTTAGAAGTATTCGGTATAACATAGTATTATTGTGTCATTTCAATTGAACTGATTTTAAATGAATTCATAATTGTTTGAAAAAGGCCAATGCGATCCATTCCGCATGCTGTGTATTTTTGGTTCTCACTGTCCTTTCTTATTGGACGCACCTTGGCCGTTTCATTGTATTCTGCTAAGATTTACGACGAATCTAAGAAGACCATTAATGTTATAAGAGCGATTCCGACAAGCTCTTGGTGTATGGAGGCCCGACGCTTCAGTGAGCACATTGTCAACGACACAATCGCACTGACCGGGATGAGATTTTTCTTCCTCACACGCAAACTTATTTTAACCGTTTTAGGAACTATCATTACATATGAGGTACTTAGATGTTCAAATTTAATAATTTTTTTCTTGGGGGCGGACACGGTTTTTAGTATTACCAATTAATTTGCGTTTAATATTCTCCAATATCTTCTGTTTTTTTTTTATTATTGTGGTATCATTTTCTTTACTCAGTTCGCTTCAAAAAATTTATTTAAAAATATGACAAAAAATGTATTTTAAATTATTTTTTCGTTGGATTAATTGGAAAATAATAAATTACAATGTTTTTTAACATACAATGGTTTCTGGGTTGACGACGGAATGTTTTTCCACCAAATGTTTTTGACCGATGCTGCATGGTTTGTGCACTAGCTAATGTCTCTAATAACTTTTAATATCTTATTATTTTTCCTGGTAAATCCATAATTCGTGTCTCCCCCTAGATTTTTTTTACATTGAAACATTTATATATTTTTTTTTTTTCATAACATACAAGCTCGTTTTGGTTAGTATACATTTAAAGCTAAATAGTTTTTATAGTTTTGAATTTCCGAAATATTTGAATAATTGAATATGTTTTTGTTTTTTAGATTCAATTTCACACCGAAGAGTCACCTCAAGTTGCCTGTCGTAGAAATTAAAAAAAAACTTAATTGTAATTTATTAAATAAATCAATTGCTTTCACAATTCAATAAATGACTTACGTACTGTAGATAATCCTTCAACGGAACTTGGAAGCAGAAGCAAAAATCTTCGACATAAAATAGTGATTTTATTTATTAAATATGGGTGCTCTTGTGTATTAAATTTTCGTAAATCGGAACACTAAATATAGATGGCACTTACAGCAATGATGGCAGAAAACTCTTACATTTAGCTATATGACGCATTAAAGCCTTCAACGAAATTTTCCATATATCTGAAATATAACAAAAACTATGAACGCACGCTTAGATCCAGCTCTTGTGGAGATCTTACGGATATATCCAAAAAACAATATATGGTATACAACAACATTAAATTTGTTTACAATCAGCTAGAGTCATGAATATAGTACACAACGTGAAATAAACACCTATGTATATATTTCGCCATTATACTGTGAAAAATCTAATGCTGCATTTTTTGACGAGCGCTCAAATCACATTTGTATACAAATCAAAACAAAAATGTCAACGGATGGAATATTAAACCACTAAAAAGATTTAGTTATGTCACTTTAAAATAGTAGTTTACTATATAAATGTAAATTAACCTGCGCATTGTAAACACTGATCAATAAATAAAGTAGTAGATTTTTCTATGTCATTTTTGGATTTTATCACTTTTAAAATTTCAAATCAAAAATGTAATTCTTTAGGGACTTGGGATAATAAATACATTACTTGCGAATAATATTTGTCTAGATCATACTTACTTGAAAACATTGTTACAATACTTCTCTCAAATTGAATATTTTTTATATGCGCCTTGAAGCTAACATTAGACGAAAAAGTAATTAATGTATTGGAGTTGTATATATGTAGTTATATATATATAGTTTCGTATATTTCGGGATCTCTTCTGCATTCATAGTTTTCAGTGTCAACTACATCTGGTACATTTCTTTTGATGTTTTCTCTCTCATTTCTTTTTGTTATAATTATTTTATAAATAAATTTTCCTAAACAAATAACTGCCACTATAATAATAAAAGAACATAATAAAATGACGATTAAGATTAAAAATCCGTAGAAATTAATGAAATCCGAAGATATGGCATCTTTGCTTTTTGGATAACTGCTTGTTAGTTGATAACTTTTAAAAAAATCACTTGATTTTTTCATAAAAACTTTATTCATTTTGATGAACTGAACCGCACGAACTTTCGACAACGAATGAAGAGGTTCATATTTTTTCGATTAAATTTATGTATGTCTTCCGCATGATTGAATACATTTTCCATTTAAATTTGATTCTTTAATTTAGGAAATGGGAGATATGACACCATCAACGGCGCTAACATTTCGCGGAAAAAAGATTTATTCCATAAAAATATTCGCAAAAGGCTTTTATGCTTCAGGTGTAAACCGTTTTAATACTAACCGTGTCCTTTCAACCGGATTTAGCTTTCGATTTGTCAACATGCAACAAAGAGCAAACGTTATGGGGAAGCATGATATTCGATTGTTAATCCATTCATCGTTCGTTGTCATGGTTTCTAATACGTTTCATTTTAGCGTAAATATTCATTATTCTATTCCTGACAAATAAACATCGTTTTGACATCTATTTATAATTTTAGATGAGACTATATACATCAGTATCCATATTTATGCCAATATTCCAAAAGACACGAACAAAAATATCAATGTAAACCTATAATTGACGTCATTTATTTACGCCATCATACAAACGAATTTTTAATTATAAAAGTTGAAACACGAATTTTGTACGAATTATAATCCATGAGAATCACACTCTTTGCTACTTGATGCTCATTTTTCTCAAAATGAAACACAACACAGTTCAAACATATGAACGGCAATGTATATATGTGTACGTATGTATACATATACATACATATATACATAAAGGGTGTCTCATATAAGGTGGGAAACTAACTTTTAACTTTTAATTTTCATTTTTTGGGAATTTCTAAGTTGATCTTATTAAGAATATATAAAGATTTATCGGGACAGAAAAAATTAAATTCATAGTCATACTACCTTTTATTTACCCACAGGTATGACACACCCTGTATATACACATGCATGGATATAAGTTTTGTATAGGACACCACCCGAACAATCGGAAATTTCGTTTGCCAGAAGTTACATTTTTTTCTACAGTACAGTTACTTCCTCGTCAAAAATCTGTACACAGAAAATAAAAATATTATTATTATAATGGTAAACATGAAATTTATATATTTTTGTCTCCGTCTTTTTATTTGTCAATATATTTATATTGAAAATGAGATGTAAACGTCAAACAGTAAGTCTTCAACAATATACTTTTCATTAAAACCATTACAAAAGTGAAGTAAAAATGATTGCTACAACATTAATCGTATATTCGTTTCAAACATAAATAAGCATACAAGTTTTACTAAAATATGAAGAATTTTTGCGGAATATTTTACGACTATATCCTGAGAATTGAGTAGAGAAAAAATCTATGTATCATAGCGTGTATCTCAAAGTATGCAAACTTACAATTTTTTTTTAAATGTGACTGTAATTTTATTATTCTTCAAATTAAATTCGAAGTCGAAGAAAAGGTTGGACACAAAAAAATATCCGAAGGAATTCAGTAAGTGATTGGTAAATTTTATTATCTACAGTATAGATTTATTATTAGCATATATTATAAATTATAAAACATTCCTGTAGAATGTGAAGTTAAACGATGAATTATTTTAAATTTAACATTTGTTCTAACAAAAAGATGTATTTTGTTTATGTAAATAGAATATTTATGATGAATGTCACACCGAGCAGGATATTACATAGAAGTGTCACACCAACTGACATAAAAAATGGCGATCAAAAGAAGACACTGTCAAAAAGACACAACAACATCGAAAACTAGAGACATTTTCTTTCAAAATAAGGCAGCTAAAATAAAAAACTGTACCCCGACGGCAAAAACTATTAAATCGGTAATAAAAACATTTTAAATACCTTAAAATAAGAACATACTCTAAATGCACATTCTTTGTATTATTTCCAGACGTTTAGAAGAAAATTTCATTTGGGAGCGAGATGAAGAACTTTTAAAAGTAGATTACCAAATTAAAAAAAAGATTCTGAAACAATGTCATACAGAAATTGGGTGAAAAACAAAGATCTTAAATTCGTGTTAAACATATTTTTCATACAGTAACAAACATAACATTTCACCAAGGAACACTGGCTAATATAGAATACAATATACGAAGTTATTATAAAAATATTGAAGTAGTAACCATGACATTTCGAAGAATTCAAGCATTTTGGTACAAAATCAAACTAAATGTTTCAAATCTATTTTTTCAGAAGTAATTTCTAACGGACTTACTATAGAGGTGGAACTCACTTTGAATGTGGAGACTATGTAAGCATTGATAAACAACATCAAAAAAAGTAGTTTATATTTGTCATATTATTTTTTTAAATACAATATAACTAATATCATTTTCTTATTATAGGCGAAACTCTTCATTATCCTAAATATTATAAAGGTGTATACTAACAAATTTTGTGTAGTTGTGCCGAAGGTTTAGAAAGATTTTATTTTATGGAAAAAAAAAAATTCTTTCAATTGTTCGTCTATCTTCGTTTAATCGACCACACAATCAATACACTTTATTCTGAAGTGGCATAAACGACCATTAAATATGTGTATTTGACAATGCATACTGTGTTTCAGCTGTGTACTATTCAGTCAATATATCTCTCGTGGTAAAGTCGTTGGTTAAAGCGATATGTTCACATATTCATCTCACAATTCCAAAACATTGGATTTTCCAGCATGAAGTCGGGATGGTGAAATATTTTCAGTGAATCAATATATTGTTATGAATTTAATGTTGCAATCGGATTCGTGCTCAGTCGCCTGCAATTTATATTTGAAGGAAGACTCGATTCTGAAGACTCAAATCAGTAACATTTATCATAATGAAGGCATAAGATCTGATGGAAATGAATCAAAGTTGAGAAGTTCCCTCTCGAGAAAAATTGATCTGGGTTTTCTGATTATTTTCGATATTGATTTTATATTTATTAGCAGTTTGCTTAGAGGAATTTGATGTCTATTTTCAATGTAGTACGGAATGTTATGATTTTTTATGTAAAGCCATAAATTGTTTAATTTTATATAATTTTTTCATCACACCAGACAGCACACAATGCATATAACTAATCGAAAAACTAAATATTATATCAAAGTCCTTCGTAGCTATCATACAAAACAATATTTTATCACCTTGCACATGTTTTCAATTTTGTGTAAGTGTTTATCCTATATTCATGAGAACGAAATTTTTCAATCCATCTTTGTATAACGTGCAACAAATCAGAATCTGATCCTTTGGGCAAATTTATAACTTTTTTGGATAATAATTTTTTAACATCATAATATCAATAAATAAAAAACTTCTCGAGGTGAAGAACCAAAATTTGAAACCAATTTGTTTTAGACATAATTTCAATATGATTATATTACTTTTTTTTTAAATTGAATCTTTTTTTATCTCTTGTCAAATTCGGATGTATATTCAAATGTCCTCACATTTCGAAAAAAAAAGTGTTCTCTTCAGATATTGGATCTTTTGTATGGGAGTCAAACTTATTTGTTATCCGATCGAAAAATTATTTTACTCCAGATATTGGAACTTTTATATGGAAGTTATACATATTTTCTATCCGATCGTCTTGAAACTCTCAGGAAGTAAAGTTAATTTTATGTACAATTATTATCAACCATAAAAATTTTAAAAAATATCGTTGATTTTCATTTTTGCCATTTTTCCGGGAAACCCCCCGTGAATTTTGAAGGAGAATATCATCGAATTAATGACTTTATGATGATGTTATTTTGAAGGTACATTTTAGGTACAATTATTATCAGCCATAAAAATTTAAAAAATATCTTTGAGTTTTATTTCGGCAAATTGACAGTATTACAGTGTCAATATTAACCGAATCTAATTTCTCGAAAAAAATATTTTTCAATACCGATCATGTACTCGAACCAAAAGAAACAAAATCATTCAAAAAAACTAAAAGATTTAAAAAAAATCAGTTTTATTATTGTTATTATGAAACAATTTTATATAACGACATTAATCAATAAAGATCAATATACTAGTATTACTTGTTGAAATACTACTTTAATGAAATTTAGTGTGCGGATCTTTTTCAAAGCATAAATGAAGAAGAACCGCTAAAAAGAGAATATACAAAAACGATATTGTATGAAAATTATATAGACAAATACAATGTTTTATGTGACTATTGTATGCGTAAGTTCAAAAGCTATACAAAAGCGTGAAGTTTCAAACGTTTCGGTAATAGACGGCATAAGAATGTAGAAATGCCTACGCATTTGAGATATGATTAGCCATGAATTCAATAAATGATCATATCATAGCACACAGCAACAAAACAAACAAATATAAAAGAATTCGTTTCATTTATTCTATTTCCAAACATTTTTATTCTTTTCTGCATCAAAAATCTGGGCACACCATTTTTGAAGCAAAAAACACAAATTCAACAAAAAAAATAACACATAACGGCAAACGTTACCAAATAATCATTTATAATTGAATATTAAAAATGAACGGATTGGGCATTCAAACATGCTCCTTTCTAATGTGACCACGAAACTTGATCAACTGATTTTTTTCAATTGTAAAATTTATTGGTTTGAATGCACGCTATTTCATTAGATTAAAATGAACGCTATTTAATGTTGCTGTTTTACCATAACTGTTGACGAAAAAGAATACAAAAATTGTTTTTTTTTCTAAAGTTATTTTTAGCCAAACTTTTTTCATATCAGCATTAGTTTTTCCTTTGGTCATATGTTAATTTCATCGAGCTCAAACTAGTAATTTTAAAACTTATCTCATATAGTCCTTATTAAATTTAAAAAAAAAATAATAATAAAGATTCAATCCAATGTTTTACGACATTCTTAGTTCGTAATTTTTTATGCTTTTTCATTAAAATTAAACGTTTCGTTGAATTCGTTTAAACAATTTATGATATGTACTTTACTGAATTTTGTTCCTTTTTTCCTTTACTTGATAGCTAATTTATTCTATTAAGTTATTTAAATTAAATTTTCTAGCCTAGTCGATGATGATATTTCTCTTATTTCTAAGTCTGTCTCATTTTCTATTCAACCTCCTTGTTTTTTCATGTACGATTCAATCAATCTGCATAAGCGGCCGCAACTCCCTTCATCTTCTCATTGGACTTGTCCGTTATTAGAATTGTCGATGATTTCATACACAAATTGCGACCTTGCCAATTGGACACCTGTTTGCCGGCAACAATGCTGTCAACTTAACCATAAACATTTAGTTCATGCAGTCTTGTATAGTTCAAAATTTAAATATGACAACAAATTGGAATCGATTCAAATATAATTATTAAATTAAAAATTAAAATAAAAGAAAATGAAAAATTATTTTTGAGCATAGTTATTCCAGGTAAATAATTTATTTTAGATATTGGCGTATATAAAGTCCCGCAAATTATCGGATCCGCAAATTTTTCGATTTGGGACTCAACTAATAAGCATCAATAATAATTAATTTGCAACATTTGCCTAATAGTGGTCTCTGACATGCATGAACTTGGAATAATCTTCGGAAGACTGTTCCATTGGATTTATAACGTACTTGAATTTGACACCCTAATGGCATTTTTGCGTAATGCGCTTAACTTCTATCCGCAAAACTGAGTGAATTGAAGTGATTTCAAAGCGCAGGCTCAATGACAATATTTGACAATATTTGAATTTAAAATCACCGTTTTAAACCGTTTCATTTAAAACGCATGAATTATAATGTCAAAACTTTTTGAAATGCGCAAGTTTGTGAAACGTCAATGTCAAGCAGTTCAAATGAAAACGTTCATTTTTCGACATACAAGCGTTCACTTTAAAATGAACTGCAGGAAATGGTTGTAAAAGTTTGCTTCAGAGTATTCTCCCGAAATTCCTTTGAATATCACATCTTTCGTTTATACATGTACTAAGTAATAACGAAATCAGTACCACCTCGTATTTCATCACCACTTTGCCTCGCCACATTCAAATATTCTATTGAAATTCTTTTCTTCTTCTCTTTTTATGAAAAGATTAAATGTTCTGATTCAGACTGTAGCCCACGTATGTGGTGGCAAAAACCATTCGTTTGTTGACGATAAAAATAAGTACAGATAAATATGATATATATATTTCTTTATTTTTGTGTATGCATATTGTTTTGGTGTACATATTTGAATATTTAAGCGATTAATTATTGTTTGTCATATTATTGACATAAGCAAAGCTTTATAAAATTTCCATTTCCTTGAATAAAAAAAAGAAAAAATCCAATATATGAAGGTCGAATCAACATGATGATGATGACGATGATGACGATGTTGAATGTCCATTCACTGTCTTCTTGCATTTACTGCATTTTTTATTGCTAATTTTCTTCAAATGTTTATTTTGTCGTTGTGCGCATTTTAAAAAGCATTCATTGAGGTATGATATTTTATCGGATCCGCAAACTGGGTCATAGTCCCGTGTACATTTGCACAGCGGTTGCTTGATGCAATTCTCGCACTGCGAAAAGCACACGATATCCAAATTGTACTCCTGGTACGCTGCACAATCGAAATAGCATGTGTTGTCATATGTCTCATTGTTTGATCCACAAACTGGTGAAAACTTGTCGTCACAGGAGCATATAATCAAAGGTTCACATGGAGCCCAGCGCGAAACTTTCAATTTCTTGTTCTTTTTTCTGGCACAATCGAAGCTACATGGATTATTATATGTCGTTCCATCCGTACCACAAATTGGATCGTAATACAGTGGACAGCAGCACGGGTTGAGATCTTCATATGGGGGATCTTCCAATGAAACTATATCAACAAATGCCAAGAAAGTCCCGAAGATTAAGAAAATATTTTTAAAACTCATTTTTTATATTAAATGACAAATGATTTATTTTAACTGAGAAAATGAAAAGAACTCGACAAATCCTCTTTACAAACTGATTGATCTTCATAAATACAATGTGCATTTAAAATAAAATATCAAAAAATCAACCATACGAAAATAGTACCTCGTGCGTCATTCGTATTGCAATATGTTTTCGACTGTAAGATTGACACATTCGTATCTAAAATAAATGTAATTTATTAAAATCAATGCCAGATTGTGAAAACTTTTGCCGAATCAACTTTTTTATTGCATTTATTTACACATTTTACAAACATTTTTCGTGAATAAAGGCTGTTTTTGTTGAAAATATTTATTGTGTAACATTTTGTAAATATTTTTAGACAGACTAAGTAGTCATGCCATACTAAGTAATCATTAAATATATACATTTACGTAACGTTTATCATTATAACTCTTATATTAAAAATGTTTCTACATCAAATGAAAATGCGAAACAGACTTGTTCAAAAATAAGGCATGTTTCAGTAGAGATGCATTGTGAGTAAATCCAAGAAAAAAAAATCCGATTAAATGTGGATTCCATATGGTTTGTCATGTTTGTTATGATTTTAATGCGCAGGCTCATACTTGAAACTTTATGCTTTACGAAAACGTTCATTTTTAGACATAAAGACGAAACGTACTGCTCGAAAAATATTGGTTGGAGTATTCGATATTTGGTTTGCTTCTATGGTCCAAACATTTTAAAAGAAACAAAACTTTCATTTAGTTTGTGTTACCACAAAAATACTAACTATGCTTTGTAGTTTATGCTTCTAAATGCTTATCAATTTTGACTGCATATAATTTTGCTAGGAAATATCAATGTTTGAATTCGAATCAGAGATTGTTTCCAATAGCAATAAATGTGAGGATGAGCGCCCAAAGAAGCTAGAGGAGTGATTCAAATATAATTATTGAGATTTTATTAAAAATCCACGGCTTAAAAAAGTATTAACCGGCATATTGAATCCTGTATGCAAAAATATGTCCCGCGTAAGAGGTAATAGTTTGTCATAATCCATAAAAGAAAAACCAGGATGTTGAGTGAAAAAGTCAAAATAATAATGCAAATATTCTTTGCTTACGGTGTCTAATTGAAAGGTCTAAAATATGATAATGTTTCGAAAGTTCGTCTTTAAAAATGTAAAAATGGGAAAAGTTTTGAAGCAATTTTTGACCGAAGTAAAAAATGTAAATGACAGACATTCATTGGTATAGTGTTAACGCGTAATGTTTATCGCCAATAGACTCATGAAACTTTCATTTATTATTATATGGTGAAGTTGACGTTGGCAGATTGCTTAACCGAAAAAAATAATCCAGAATAGGTGAGTAATTAAAAAAACGCATTTTTTTTATCATGAAAATTAGTGCACAAGATGGACAAATTTCTGG